AGACATCAAAAAGGAGGAGAAGAAAGAGAAAGGAAGAGAGAGAGAGATTGAGAAATACAGTCACCGAGGGATTACATGCACGCTAAAATATTTATGTGTGTCACCATTGTTCACCATTACATTTGTATGAACAATTCATACAAGCCAGCATGGCGGCAAGACTTACTTGCTCATTCTTCTTTCTATATTTCTCTTTTCGAAACATTCATCTATGATTTATTAAACAGAGATATTGCACATCATTGTATGAGACATTAAATGTAATTAAGAAGGTGTTTATTGATACTTTGGAACTATTTGATCCTCAGACATAATATAAAGCTATGCTTACGAATATACGCTGGCAAAGTGATTGTTGAAGATCTTTTGAGTTTGTTTTGTGTTTTTTGCATGTTTCACCTTAAAATCACCCCAACACCAAGCCAGAGGTGATCATATCTCACAGGGAGATCGAACCCTCTATGAGTTGTCAATAGTGTCGGTTGTAAGTCGCTTTGAAATTAAGAATGACTCCTAAATAAATTATACTTAAATAGATTAGATTGCAAGAGAGTATGAAATAAATAAGAAAATAAAGCTGATATGGAATAAAAGAAGAAATAAAATCTAAGATAGATTGCTTACTAACTGTCGGGCCTACTAACTTGGCACTCGGAATAGGAGCCTTGATTAGAATAATATTGATTGGATGAAACCCGAAATCCTTTTGGAAATCACTTTCTTCAAACCTTGAATGAATAGAGAAAATGGTCCCTAAAGATCTAGGGTTTAAAGTATGAAGTAATGGAATAGACTAATGAATTTCTATGCATAGTGACTATGGATTATCATAATTGTAGAGAAAGGTTAAGGTTTCAGGGCTCCTAAGTTGAAAACTAAGGCTTAGATCTTAGGATTTGGGTTATGATGATCGGCCTAGGGTTTTCATTCTATTACTCACCGGTTGACCTTGAGAGGGTAAAAAAATGAGGCTAGTTATAGGCAAAATTTGTTCAAAATTTGAAAGGCTGTAAATCTAGACAAATCCCATATTAACACATGGCTGCATCGCACCTTGTGGTGTTGGATTGCATCATCATATGCCGTACTATGTGGTGTAGGCAGTTAATTATATCAAGTTTCCACTTATTTCCTTGGGATTTTGATTATAATGATATTTACTTGCTAAAATCATGTGATTTGACAGTTTTTCACTCTTTTACTCTTATCTTACCGCAAAATGTGTATTTTTGGGTTATAAGGTTTCCTAAGGTTGGGATTTCATGGGATTTAGGGATTTTCTAGAGTTTTGGGTTGAACTATGGTTAGGTGTTGACTACAGTTTACTATGGAATGTGGTGCACTTGATAAGTGCAGTTCTTAGAGGTTACATGTGTTATTTTAGGCTTATTTCTTATGGTTTTATGGGTCATTTTTCTATACATCAAGTCCAAGGAATTTAGGGAAAAAGCACATTTCAACTGGGTGTTTACACTTTCTCTTGAAGAATTAGCTTTAAAAGACTTTGCTTGATTTTAAGATTTGTAGAAAAGTTTTTGTAGGAATTTTGAAGGGATTTGGATTAGGGTTTCTAGTCTAGGGTTTTCGTAGATCAAATGTCCTAAGGGAATTTTTGAGAAATTTTCTAGGATTTCCTAGGATATTTAGGTTTTAAGGATTTTCCTAACATTTTTCTAGGGATTTTAGGTTCCTAATTTCTAAAAAATTTAGTTTATGATTTTCATAATAGGAGTTTAGGGGGTTTTATATAGGTTTTTATTTAGATACCTCTAAGGAGTAGTCCTTCTTTAGGATTATGATTCCTAGGCTTATGATTTGGTGAAATAAAGTTTGACCAGTCAAAATGCTAACCAAATCTCATCCAAGAATACCTTGGAAATGTTCAAAATTTTCCAAAATTTTTTAGATAAATTTTGTGACCTAGGACAATGTTAGTGACACAGTCGGGTTAAATGACACTGCCTGCGATTGTGGAACCAAATCCTCCCATAGCTTCGGAGATTTCGTTGAGCCCAGCAGCAATGATCTGGTTTAGTACCAGCACACTTTGTGGTCACTATTAGCTTCTTTTTTTTTATGTTTATATGTTGTTATGGCTAAGACCATATTGATTCTGATCATATTTGGTATTTGGATTGATTTTGGTATGATTTGAGGTTTTTGTAAGGATTATGGAGTACAGGGTATGGTGCATTTTACCAGGTTAATGTGGTCCATAGATGCTTAGGTTACCGGTTCTAAAGAATTCCCTTGGCCAAAATTTTAGGGGGGTGTCTAATTGGCCATCTAATGTTCGGGTAGTGTAACATTGAGTCACTCAGCTATTGAGAAAGGCTTGCAAGACAGGGTGCTCAACGGTTGAGGTACGCAATTGACCCCATGGATGGTTTGACGGCGGGAGGTTTAATGGGATTGGTCCCCCATGAATAATGTAACAATTGGAAGTTTGTTGAGATTGACCCTCATGGGCACCGTGTCAATCAGAGCTTCAGTTCAAGAACCTAACCTTTGAAGTTGATCTTGGTTTAGTTGGTCTAGGTTGTTTTGTCTTAAAAGTTGTTGGCTTGAATTGAATGGTCGACTAGCAAGTGACCTATTGTTCAAGTGGTTGACCTTGTTTGACCTTAACCCAGCTAAGGCCAATTGGTTTGGGATGTGTCGAGGGTTAGCTCTCAGCACGACCAAATTAATCGGGTTGGTTTCCTACTAACTCTTGAAGGAGTGTTTCTGGTCTCATCCCTTGACAATTGAGTGCTCTGCAGACCATTTTGACATGGTGATCCACAGTTCCTAAGTGGTACCCTTCGAGGCCATGGTGTCTAGTTGTAGTCCCATGTGGGCATATGTCTGACTCCTTCACTATGGTGTCATGGGTCTTAGGGCTTGTTGTCACTTGGACTAATGGCTTGGTGCACTAGACTTGGACATGGATGAAGCTACAAATTCAATGTACAAGTCAAATCACACCAGGGTTTAGCCATGGGACATCAGGTTTAATCAGACCTAAGTTAACCTCACCTAGTCTAGTCTAAGCCACCACCAAACAAAAACATTTGAAATAATTTAGCCTAAATTTATAGGTCAAGATTAACTGGTGGGGTTCCTAGCTTTAAGAAAATACTAAAATACAACTTATGTCCAGGTACATCTACAAACGTCTATGCTTACAACTTTAGGGAGAGCTTTGGTCTTATTATTGTGGGCTACTCTTAAGCCGAGAAATATGAAGGGGAGCTCACCTCAAAGCTGCATAGCTCCTAACAATCATGACTTCTAGGAGCTAGATGCCTCTTACGAGTTTAACGCTGGTTTTGGGGGTTTTAAAAAAATTTCAGTTCTGGGTAGCCTGATTGGTGTTTGCATTTGTGTGGAAAAGGGCACTAAGTGAGTGGGTGCAAATTTTGTGGTAGGCACATAATGATCAAGAAAGTAAATTTTCTATTTAAATAAAATATTGAAAGCGGAATATATCAAGCTACTCAAAGATTGCAAGTAAATAAAGCAAAAGGCATGATTTTTTTTTGTTAGACTAATTTCTGATACAGAAAAAAAAAATTGAAAATATTGAAAAGGAATAATAACAGGAACCCAAAAGTTGGGAGGTGTTTGAGGGCTAAACTGAGCCAGCGATATGTTGCATCTTTTGAGTAGTCTACCCAAGCAGCACAATAAGAATCACTGGAAGTAGCTAGGGCTCAAATAGGGCCCGAGTATAGGATTTCCTAAGTTCAATTTCAAGGGTGGATTCAAACTGCTCAAAGATTAGTCTTAGTGAACATATGAAATAAGGCAGAAGCCAGGAGCAATGCATTGTGCATAGCTGAGCTTTGTTGCCCCAGAGGCACACTGTGTCATTGAGACAAACATCCCTCTGGACCTTTCTGTCGGGCCTGTTTCTTGATTTCCTGTTTCTGCTTTGTTGGATGGAATAAAGTTTAGGAGTTGTTTTTTTCCTGAATTTAACGCAATTCTAAGCTCAACGGGCTCACATTGTGTGCCAAATTGTTTATATGCAATTTCGAGACTGACCTGACTACTCCAAGTTTCATCTGCCAGAGATCACGTCCAAACTTATATTTTAAAAGTCATAAGAGGTGCATTCCATCAAATTATGATTCACGAGTAGATCAGTCTCGAAAGGTCTCTCTTCTCACAAATTAGCCAAGGAGGCTTAAGTTTGGGTAAAATCTAAAAAAAGATGTTGGAATATTAAAGAATTAGAATGATCGGTGACAAAGCATTCCAAAATGAAAATAAAATAATATTTTGAGATTTAAAATTATAAGATTCATGATTGTGGTGGTTGAGATTAATTACCTAATTTTTATAATTAATCTATAAAATTTAAAGTCCCCAATCCATGAATGAGGCTGTATCTAAATAAATATCATCTGAAACACCAAAATCCCATTCTTCAAAACAACAAATCGATCTATCGTAAAGTAGACAATGATGATTATCTAAATGACCGAAAAATATGGATGGACATTGAGTACAAACAATATTAAGTCAGCTGATGGAGGAAGTCTCACTCACCAATTCCACCCTCTTCCAATCACCAATGGGCCATTGATTGAATGGTGACAAACACTGACAACCACGCACTTCATAATCCGGAGTCCGGACCATAAGGCTGATGGCACACTTTCTCTTCAAAAAAAGGATTAAAAAGAAACATATCGAAAATGAAAACAAGATTTTTAAAAATAGTAATTAACACTAAAGGAAGAATATTTAAGCAACTATAATTAATAGAACTACTCAATAATTTAAGGATGAACACACACTAATTAGTCCCAATTAGTCGAGCCAGTTTTTACTTTGGTTAATCATTGATGATTTTATTTTTTTTGACGAATTTCATCATGGGGACTAGTCTATTGACTCCTAGAAATGAAGAGAGCCTTGAAATTAAAAATAACCTAGAGAGAGAATATAGTAAAGAAGAGGGTGAATTTTAGTGAGAGAGTGGCAAAAAATCGTTTGGTTTTTAAGCTTGTCGTGTAGAGGGTGGTAAAAGGCTTTGTAGAGAGAGTAGGGGCAAATCGCGGGGCTTTGCTGTCACATTGAAAGATCAAACCTTTCTCTCTCTCTCTCTCTAAACGGAAGAAGCATCAGATCTGCGATTTCCGTTCACTTTCCTTCCCTAATGCTGAGAGTCATGGCCGATTCTGATCATTTGTCCTCTTCCATTTCGTGAATTCCCTTCTCTCTATCGATACGTTTAGTTCGATTCCTGTTTGACTTTTGTTTGGTTTCAAGCTTCCTCAATCGAGATCTGCTTTTTTAGGTAACCATTGATTCACTTAATTTCATTTTCTCTCTCTTGTTGTTTGTTTTGATTTCTCAGTGTTGGGATTGGTTTTGCCCTAGATTTGTATTTGGAGGGAATTGGGAATTGACTTCCATGGCTGCCGCACCTGCTAGGGCTCGAGCTGATTACGATTATCTCATAAAGCTTTTGTTGATTGGTGATAGTGGTATGAATCATTTCTGTTTCTTTTGTTCGTGGGTTTATTCTGTAAATTTTTTGTTCAGGCTGCATTTTGAGTCAACTTTCTCGAGAAATGATGGTTTTCCTTCGAGATTACTGTCTTTGTTTGTGTTCTGCTATTATTGATCATGAATGTTGTGATGGGGGGTTGTATTCGCCAGTAATTTTATTTATTACCTTTATTGGTGCGATTACATCTAAGTAGGTTTTGAACCAGCTGAAAAGGTTCTCTTTTTTACTTTTTATTTGGTTTTCTTATTTAATGTATTGATATTTGACCTTATCCATTGGATTGCCATTATGCATAACTCTGTTGGTATAGCTCTTATTATCCTGTTTTGTGTAGATCACCGTTAGTTGTCCAAATGGTTATGGGTGTACATCTTATATAATTCATTAGTAAGGGCTGCATGTACATCTTATATAATTCATTAATAAGGGCTGCAGACAATGGTGTTCTAATTGATCATTTTTTCTTCTTTCTATGATTGGAAGACAAAAGTGAGAAGTAAATTTTGTTGTTTTGTGATTGGGTAGGTACATTTGTGGTCGTGTTTATTGCTTTCATCCAAGCTTTGTTGCAGCCCCTTACTCTTGACTTGATTCTTGCTTCACCTTTTGGATTTTCTAGTCATCATGTGTTGATTGATAACATATGGAATATAAGTAAGGCAGAAGGAGGCGCAATGATTGCAATTGTGGAATCCATATAGTGACGCAGGGGATATAAGCCCCAATTCAATTTGCTTATTTGCTTTTCCATTAACCCTGAACACCCAAGAATGTCTCTAATTTGGTCACTGTCAACGTTGGCTGTAGAGGTGAGACTCTGATACTCTTTTCCTTATGTACTAAAAAGATGTGTCTTTTGTTTTCTCCATCAATGGGAATAAATGCCCAAATCTTGGGTGTTTCATCCAATGCTGGATGTGGAGGGAGGTAGTTTGTGGATTCCCGTTCCCCAAATTTTGTTTGTCTATCTCCTTAGAGGCTGTGAGTGTTATGGACCGTAATTTCTTTGTGCTCTTTACGAAGTATGCCCACTTTCAGGCATGAGAATAAACGACCGAAGTCTATGTCTGTCGTTTACTTGGGTCGGAAGGATGAGAGTGAGGATTGTAATTTATTTGGTGTGGTTTGCCTATCATTTTAGAAGTTCTGAATGTTATGAAACATATAATCGAGTGAGGCTTGCATCAATGAGTTAGGTTGATGAGGATGTGGTACACTATGATGATATCAAGAGCTATATCATGCATTATGTCTTTGAATAGCCAAGCTATCCATTTGGATCTGGAAACCCAACCTAAACACTTGAGCCACCTTGCATTATGCATATCAATAAATAATATTTTTGGTAAAACTTTTCAAAACTAAAATAAAAATAACTAAACTTTGTATATATGGGTCATTTGGATGCTGGGCAGAACTTTATCTATTTTTATAAAATGCTGGTCTCTAGAAAAAAAAAGGCCCGTTTGGCAGTACTACTTCTTTTCCCAAATCCAGGTTTAAAATTGTCCATCAATCCTGCTTTTGAATTACCCATTCAAGACTTGGTTGTCAAAAACTCTGGGTAATTTTTTACTCAGGGAATCTAAAGCAAACCTGACCACACATGCTCACTCCATTTCCAATGATTGATCTCGTCTTCCTTATCCCAAAAACCTGGTGTTACGAACATGTAGGTTCAAACAGTTGAAATATAAAGCCTAGGTTCTATCCAGATGCTACCCAAACCCAAAAATCCAGGTTTAAAATTGTCCAGTCTTAAAAAACCTGGGTTTTGGATAAAAAAACCTGGGTACGTTTCTACCTCCAGCAAACCCACCCATATTCTGTCGAACCCGCATAATGAAAAACGGAATTTATTAAGAAAATCCTGCAACCTTAATTTTACCATAAGACAAAAGAAAAAAAAAGAACCTGTAACCCCAGCATTCTAATTGAGATGTCAAATGTAGTAGACTACAACTGTTCGATGACTGTTTGTTTGCATAAAGGTTCTCACCTAGGACAGCTTCAAACAAAAAAGATTCTCACCTAGGATGTTGACTTTCGATATGTGCTGTATAATGGCACAAAATAATGAAAACGCTAGGTGTGTCAATCAATGGTAGTGGAGATGTTACTTGCCTTCTACCCTAGAGGTTCAGGGTGCTAAGGAGGCTGGATCCTTATTTGCTTTATACTAAAGGAGAAAGCAAACAATTAGGAAAACTAAAGACTCGAGTTCTTCGCAGGCATCACTATGCTACTGATTAAGAGTCTTTCCAAATGTAAGATTGGTATGATTTATCGTGATAATCATTATGTAACGGACTTTAAATGCTAATAAGAATGGAACTTGTTTGTTAGTAATTGGATGAAGTGAGCTGTATTATTCTTCAATTGACATACAAATAATTCACTTATTATTAAGAAATAGGAGTTGGCCTATCATTATATGTTTGTCTGAGCTTAATGTTAAATATCTGGTAGAAGGCTGCTACTCTTGTGAAGTAGCAAAACATGTTACTCATGCGATGTTATCTGAAACTTTAAGTGGCCCCAGAGGCGTGAGAGGCCATAGAAAGCTTCCTTTTTCGAGAAAAAAATAATCAGCTTTCTTATTTTTATTTATTTTTTATGTATGAGTTTGTCTTACTATTTTGTCACATGAACAAACAAAAATAATAAACATGCTGATAAAAATAAGAAGTAGAAGTATTATGCAAAATTGTAGAGACTCATTAGGATATAAGATTTCGCCTTCTGATCCAGAGCAAAGTGGACAGAGGGAAAAAGTCAATTTGTTGGAGGTTCCATACCTTTATAAATGCCCCTTGCTCTAAGTTAGGTCCTGTTTTTATGACAACTCGCTGATTTTTAGTTGTGAAGTTGTTATTCTACCTACCAATCTTTGATGAACTCTTGCTTGTAATATTGCAAGGAACTCTTTAGGAAGTTAACAAGGTTAGTCACCCCTTCTTTAAGGTCCATTGATATATTTGTATTTGGTTTTCTTCTGGCTTTAGATATGTTAAATCTGAAACTTCCACTTTCTTCACTTCCTGTTACTGCTCATTAGGACAAATTGTCAGTGAGAGCATTTACTAATTCTAAGATCAAATAGAAGGCTTCCTTGGAAAGGACATCAAATTTTGCAAAATTGATTTCTGGTGGAAGGCTGAGGATATCTTTTTATTTAATACTTGGTGACCTATATAAGGGCCTAGAGTTTTCAGTAACTGTGAGGTTATTAGTGATTCTTTGGATGCTTCTCATGTTTGTGGTGGTCAATTAGAGTATATATCGATGCTAAAAAAATAAAAACTCATTGATGCCTTCCTGGCTTCAAATAGGCAACACTTTGAAATTTCGCAAAGGTCGAATGGGGAGAGAGGAAAAAAAAAAGGCGAAGAAGAAAAATCTAATGTGGACTTGAGCTTTCCTTTTAATTGGAGGTTACATGATCTTTAAAATTGTGGCCTCAGATCCTCCCACTCCCATCAAGAGCTATTTCTTTAGCGCTGTAGATCAAAACTCTAGTAGCAAGCTTATTATGGTGTGGTTCATTAATGCAAGTGAACTGAGGATTAGATCGAGCAATCTATTCTTGCCTGCCGCAAAGGATAGTTAGGGCACACCTCAGAAGTTGAGCTTCTTGAGGATGCTTGGATCGTACAACTTGGATGAAAGTTGGAAATCATTTTATGCTGTATTTGCAGGAAGAATTCCATCATGTGTTGGAATTCAAGATTTACACTATCTGAAAACAGAAGCAGACCCAACTTGCTAATCTCCAGCCCCATAATGAGTTTCTAACAGTTCAACCTCAGCACTGGAGGTTTACATATTCTTGTTTCAGAATCAATATTTCTAGTTGATCCTGGTGTAGTGTCACTTGGTTGCATCCTCAGTGCAACTTGATATATACCTTTGAGAAGGTTTTATGCTTGTTAGTTATAAAACCAAATTTAACATGTCTGATGAAAAATGTAGGAAAAAAACTGCTTGAGCCTCAGTTATCTTGACTATTCTGAACATTGGTGGAAATTCCTGTCTATTTAATCATATAATTGGTTGCCTTTCTTGCTGAAAATGAATGGTGCTTCTTATTCAACGCTTTCTAGGGTCTGTTATATGGAAAAGAAATGGTGGGATCTGTAAAAAGAGGGACTTGTTAGGAAGGATTATCAAGATTGCGTTTTAGTTTCAAATATTAGATCATGGTACAATACAAAATGGGAGGTGCAAATTAATAATTGTTCCATTGCTGGGAAATACGTAGACAGCTGGATGATAGACATCTTGCCTCAGTTATCTTGATTATTCTGAACATTGGTGAAAAATTCCGTCTATTTAATTATATAATCGGTTGCTTTTCTTACTGAAAATGAATGGTGTTTCTTATTCAACGCTTTCTAGGGTCTGTTATATGGAAAAGAAATGGGTGTAAAAAGATGGACTTGTTAGGAAGGTTTATCAAGATTGAGTTTTAGTTTCACATATTAGATCATGATAGAATACAAAATGGGAGGTGCAAATTAATAATGGTTCTTTTGCTGTGAAATATGTGGACAGCTGGATGATAGACATCTTCCAGTGATATGAGCTGGTTTTTGTTTTTTTTCATCATCTTTAGTTTAAGGATTTTTCATGTAAATTGGGCATGGGAGATTGTGATTTTAACTCTGCGTCTATGTTATAATTGGTAAGAGGGGCATTTTCAATTTTGTCCCTCTGCCCAAAAGTTTGTGTTCTTTTAACTCAGTTATGAAATATTGGTATAAGTAAAATATTTCACACTTTTTATTCTAATAAGGCCTTTGTGTTACAAATGTCGATATCCCAAATAACTCTTTAATTTAAAATAAAAGCATGATATTGGTGTTTTAACGGGACAGATTCAATCTCTTGCCTTTTTAATTATGCACCCCTGTTAAGTATTAAAAAATATGAACTGTCGTTTTGTTCTGCCACCTGAAACATGAGTGGTAACAC